TTCGCGAAATTATTTAATTGAAACTGGGTGGTGTGCTGTGGACACTGACTCTGACAAATTCGCGTGGTGCATTTGTAAGTGATACCCAAATTTATTGGATCATTTTCATTAGAAGACAAACAAAGCTTCGATGGGGATGGCAGTCGGTATTGGAAGATTAATTTCAGCTGAAAAAACAGAGTGTTAATGATAAAATGGATCGACAAAGCGATTGCTTCAGCGATAATTGAAAAACTAGAGCTTTCAAAGCTAATGATTAGTAATACAGTTGAAATTTCCCTAAGACGAAAGTCTGTAACTGGAAGTTTCTATATTTCGAACTATATTTAGCTAGGTTGACCATCAATTAAAACCATGGACATATCACGGTTCAGCCCGGCCGACCAGGCCATAGTACTGCCTCATGCAAGAAATGGATATTGAAATGATGTCCGATTCATATAACCGCATGACAAAAGCATGCCACAAGAAGTGCACCCCACAGCGCGATTCGGAGTCGTATTTGGGTGAGTTTTGCGAGTAATACGTTTCGTGAGCTCTTTGGCCAAAATGTGACCCGTGTTACAGGAAAAGGGGGAGACGGTCTGCATCTACCGCTGTGTGGCCAAATTCCTGGACATTCATGAGAAGATTGGCAAGAAGCTTATAAAGTATAAAGTCCACAAAACACCATTTCCAACTTAGCCAATTCGTATGGTTTCCTACGATATGTTGTTAAAGGACCATGCATAAACCACACAAATCTAACCAATACATAACAATGTGTGTAAACCTGACAAGCTCATTGTTCAAACTTAATCACTTCATCGCGACATCGCTGACAACATTGTCCCCACATCTTCAGGTCTATTCTCCTACGAGCTCTCGTCCATGGTGTCCAGCTGGCTGTCCCGGGCTGGCGACAGGCAGCAGCTTCATCCATGAGATGCAGGTCCATGTAGATGTTACCACTGCAAAAACCTGCAGGTCCTGATGAAGACAGATTTGATTCCTATTCAAGTTCAGCATGTGCAGAAAATGCAGCTCTTGCAATTGGGAGCGTGTGGGCAGTTCATCGATTATGTTCTCATTGAGGAATACGAATAGCTTCTGACCTAGCCTCCGGAAACCCCTCCAGCTTATTGAAGTCCAAGGTGAGAGATTGGTAATGGTAGAGGGAATCTGTAAGTTAGATAATCAGTACGGCACCAGTACGGTATTGTCACCAAATGAGTTCAGCACCTACTTTTGTTAGTTTTTAAGTTTGTTCTGATTCAGAAAGAAATTTGGTAGTGGGAGAGATTCAACGAGGACTTCTTGCTGGTGGTTTCTCACAGTTGTCCAGCACTGGTGTGAAAAAACTGGAAAATCGTCTCCATTACGTTAAAAATCTAGTCTTATTCAGATAGATATTTTTCAAAACAGGTCGTTAAAGGTCTGGTCTGATGGAAAACTCCACTTTGTACACTTTGGATAATAATGTCTCGACTTATGGAAGCTCAACTGTATTTACTAACAATTGGCTAATTTTGTTTAATACAACGCAGTTACTTTTAATAGAATGCATTCCCGACCAGCCACCCGTGTGATTAATGAATTCAGATAAAATAACATGGGAAAACGCTCTACAAAACAGCTCGCCCCCTGCATCAAGCCCCCTCAACGGCTCACATGGCGACAGACGGACACAGTTGCCAACAACAGCAGCAGCAGAAAGCGACTTTAATTGATTTGGTAACAAAAGTTGACTCTCCTGGCAAAAGTTTTGTTGGCCAGCTACAGGGGCGCCCGACCAGGTCCTTCTAATTGAAATTTGTTCTGTCGCCCATGAGGGCTCTTCAATAACGATTTATGTGCCTAACATTTGTTACATAATGCCCATAAATTAAGGCAACGACTTTTCCGACAGCGACAGGTTGAATCGTTCATCAGATGAAATTTAATTAGCAATCACACGGCTGTCTGTCGATTATATGCTCTACAAGTTGACTTGACTGAGGGATGAATGATCGATGTGGTAATGAATCTGTGTTGGCGTCGAGAATAATAACTGAATGTTTCATAAACATTACAGAAAGGACTCTCCTGCTATGCATCTACCTGTCGGAAAATGCTAATGTGTGGCCCAGTATCTGATTGGCTAACCTGTAGACCGATTCCCCTTACAGATTACTTTTATTCTATACCGATTTGGGTCCAATTCGATAACAAGAGCTGGTCTGTCCCTACAAGCTAGCGTTCAACCGATCAATCCTATCCCATATGCATTATAGGGCTTTTCCAACTGGCGCTAGCCCATTTGAAAGCAGTAAAAGGAAGAATTAAACTAAGATGACAGCTGCAATATAAACATTTATTTAATATTACTACCACAAATAGCATTTAGTTCAATTTATCAAACCATTTGCCCGCGGGCGAAAACAACTAAGGAACAGCGATGCCCCACAAAGGAAGGAAACTTCAATGAGTTGCGAATTTTTCCGGAAGTTAGTGGCCATTCCAGTACGACACTTCAAATGCCACCGACTGACTGAACTGGATTGTATTCATTAAAATACTTGTGTGGCGAAGAGAGATCTTAGTTTGTTGGGTCGGAGAGCTGGTGTCTGTTTGATTTATCGACAGTCTGAAAGTGTTTGCTAACAGAATGGACTATTTGCAGTTTTTCAGCGTAAAACGGATAAGAACTGTCAAGGTAACAAAGAAATTCACATGGAATGGTCTTTTCTTTGCACTAATAATATTCGATTGGTTCGGCAACTTGATTTTTAAAGCACCTCTAAGGACTTTGCCGATTATGCTGCCAGCAAAAGTTGTGTTTTTACTTTTCTATAGTTTGGAATTGTTTTAGTTCTAGAGTTTGCGCACATTTCCTTAACCGACAACGATGTAACGATAATCCTAAGAACAAACCTATAAACTACAAAACTTTCATAACTTGAGGAAAAGCGTTTTGTGGGAAGTGACTGGAGCCTGACCCCAGCCTTTGAACACATTTTATATATTATGTACTTGAAGAAACTGAAAAGCTTATAAGGATATCATTAGTGTCTATCCTCTAGTATTCTTCGTCATCGTCGTAGATACCACGAATATTTTCTGCACGTTTATTTTAGAAAAATAACGGTCTACCGATTGTATATTCTTCCCGTAATTTCTAGACAAACCGCGTTTCATCGAGGGTTTTTTTTTGTTGCTAGGACATTCGAGGCCTGACTTGCCCCCTAGTAGATCCTAGAATATAATATATTTAGCACATATTAATCTGGGTGTGCTCTCATTATTTCATTGCGAATACTGTGAAACTATTAGCTGAATGATATCTATCTAGAATCTAGACTCTGGAAGCTAACTGCTATGGAGGAATATGCAAAGCAGCCAAGCTTACAGTTTCAGAGCAGCCAGCTGCAATAGTTTTAGAACAACATGTGTCATTAGCCATAGTTTTCATTGTATGGTATTACTTTCAGGAGAAGTAGACTTGTTGGAAAAGGATATATGCAAGTGAAAAATTTGCTGTAATGCATCAAACATTTGAACATCGAATCGGCAATAGTATAGTGTATAGTATATATATTATCTATTATACTAGCTATCAAATTTCTTCTGTCATAAGCTATAAGTCCGCTGACAAACGTCCTGTCAAATCAATATCCTTCCAATGAGACCCAAACACGAATAGATTTCGAGCGGTTGTGGGCATATCAAGCATATGGTAAGAATCCCACGATACACGATACAGAGAGAGTGCTCTACCTGAGGGTAAGTAATTTTGCATTTGATATTATGCTTACATGGTAGCAATATGTGTGCCTGTGTACTCTGCACTCGCATCTTGTACTTACCGAAATGATTTATAAATGCCGACGTAATGCGCTAAAAGCCAAGCATATTAAACCGGTTTTCAGATGTGGCCTGCCTGCCACATCGTGGCACTGCCAGTGGAAGTGGCAGAAGAACTGAGAGGTACGTACGGTAAGACCATATATCTGCGTGGTTTTTGGCACTTTTGGGGCAAGGCAAGAAAAGGTGAGCTTTGCGAAAAGGGTTTAATTATTGTAATTGGAGTTTTCGGCTTAGGCCGCAAAATCGCATAAATTATTAAAGCCAGATGAGATGAGTGTTGGCCAGAGATGGAATCAGATGTTAATTGTTTTGTGGAGCCACATGGCAGTTCTCCCAGTAGCCGCAGCCCCCATATGACATAAATCTCTTCTGTGGAGGCAATTCTCACCTAATCAACCCCTGTGCGGCACTATCTCACCTCTCATCGCCTGTCCTGGGCGCCGTGTCCGTGTCTCTCTTATCTGGAAGCATATTCATTATACGAATTAGGTTCATGGCTCGGATTGGCATTCTTTTGGGACACATTCGAGAAAAATTGGCAATTTTTGAAATCGGAAACTCTGCAAAAAGTGCCAGAAAATAGGGGAAAAAGAAGGAAAACACCAAAGAAAATGGGAAAGGGAAACAACAACAAAAGGCCACAGGATTTCCAATCGTTTTTATTGAATGTTTCCGAGCGAAAAGAAAACCCAACGTTGGACGAACGAAGGGACGGACAGACTGGCGATGGCGATGCTGCAATCCCGTAGTGGCCGTCGCGTCGTGTCCGTCGCATCCGTATCAGCGAGAAACCCAATATAATCTTTTATTTCTTTGTCTCTCCAAGGGTCGTCGATGGGATGCCTGGGTCTGAGTCTGGGTCTGGGCCGGGTCTGCGGTGCTGTGGATTTTTCATTTTAAAGACTCTTTGACATTTTTTTCCCTGGCAGACAAACGGTGCGACGGAATTGGCAGATTAGAAATGCTCGAAACGCAGCGGTCGGTCATCGGGGAAGGTCGACCTCTGACCTTGAGCAGTTGATTAGCATAGGGATTGGACGATTCCATTGTCCGTGCGACTCTCTCTGTGTGTGTGTGTGTGTGTTCCGTTTTCAAAGTGGGAAAAACAGGAAGAAATCCAATGATTTTTTTTTTTTGGTATAAATTAGATTTTTATTTTTCTGCTTAGTTTTTGAGTAAAAAAGATTATATAAAATCGTATTTAATGGATGGTATTTACACTTAGGATTAGCTCAACTTTTGCCGCAGCACTTAAATATATATTTATATGATTATCGCATCTGCATAAATCGATTCTGAATCGGTGTCTTTTTTTCTGTATACATCTGTTAGATGATAAAATTATCAATATTTACATATGTAGGTCTATAGCCTAGGGGCTCGGATGGATGTGGCATGAGCCAGCTACCCCGTTCTGGGGTGGCATGGTGGTTGCTTCTAACAATAATTAGGGCGGGGAATTGGTTCTGGTTCTGGTACTGGTTCTGACTGGAGAACGGGGTGGCGTACAACTAAAAACAAAGTCTTTAAATATTAATTACAGCTATCCAGGAGCCACTGCTGCTACTGCTGGTGCTTCTGATGTTGCCTCTCCTTTAATGATGGCCATCTCACACCTCGCTCCGGATGCAGACTCGGACTCCCTTCAGCTTCCGCCTCAACGGAAACGAGTGGTATGGACGGGTGGCGGCTGCTGTTCACTTGCTCTTGGTGGCAGCCGCGAGGGGTGCGGCGGGGGTGGCCGCCGTCTGCTGACGTGGACTAGCCCCACTGCCGGCCTTGGCTAGCGATGATGGCGTGTGGCTGGATGGGGCTGTAGCCGCTGCAGTCAGCTTTCCGTTGGGCAGGGCTGAGGTCTTGGGGCTGGCTGCCGATGTAGCCGAGGAGGGGCTGGGCAGGTTGACGGTGGGCAGCATGGGCATGATCGGCTTGTGGTCCCCATCGCCTGCCTGGCCATTGGCCGCATTCTTCAGCTTCTGAAGGTAGTCGTTGAACGCCTCGTTGCCCGCCCGCTGCATCCGCGTGAGCTGTTCCATGAAAACCGCCTGCTGGTAGTTGTACATCGCCGGGGACATGTGCCCGATCTGGGCAAAGTTGTACAGTATATTCGACTGATTGGCGGCCGCTTGGGCAGCCTGGGCGGCTTGTGCTGCCTGGGCCACCTGAGCCCTGATCAGGTTCTCCTTGATGAAGTTGTTCAGATCCATTTGACCGGCAGCGGCCGCGGCACTGGAGGCGATGCTCAGCGGGGCGTTTAATCCCGGCAAACCGGGATGAGGCATAAGTTTTCCCATATTCCCTTGGACTCCACCCCCCAAAGCGGCGGACGAGGACGGGGGCGGTGTGGGATTCTTGTTTGCCTTCTTGCCACCCGTCTGTTGGCTCTTCAGCGGAGGACTCGGCTTCTGCGCCGGGTGACTGCCGTTGGGAAGCTTCGGGGGGGGCGGCAGAAAGACTGCTGCTCCTCCGTTGGGGGACTTCTTGCTGGTAGGCACCTTCTTGGCGCCGGTCTGGACCTGGCTTTGGGGCTGGCTGAAGTTGAAGGCGGGCGCCAGGCTGGGCAGCTTGGCGGCCATGTCTGGGATCTGGGCGTTCTGGCGGGGCAGAATGGGTCGGAACTTCTTGGCCGCCGGATCTCCGTTGGGAGTGGCTGATCCTGGTGCCGACTGTCCTGCCAACTTTGGTGACTTGTTCTCGCTGGCGGTGGGCGAGTGGCTTCCCATCTGGGCGGCACTGCGCTTCTCCGGACTGGGCGTCTTCTTGCTATCCGCCTGCGAGGGCGTCAGCACGGTCTTCAGGGGCGTGCCCTTGCCGCTGGCGGGGGGCGATATCTTGGGGGGTGTGATCCCACGGGGAGCGGTAGACGACGACGAGGGTGGCGGGGCTGTTTGCGGCAACTGTGGCGGCGTCATACGCGACATCAGGTGCTGCGGGGAAGGAATGGCCTTGGAGGGCGGAGGCTGCGTCAGCCGCATGGCGGCGGCGGCTGGAGCAGGAGCTGCGACTGCGGGTAGCTGTGGGGGTGGAGTGCGTCCGGGTGCTGGTGCTGGCGGCGACTGACGTTTCTGGGCCTCCGTGACGCTGGCGGCGGACTTCTGTCCCTGGTCCTGCGGCTGGTCGGGCAGTTTTACGATCTCGATGTAGTTATTGACGGGACTCTTGTGCTTCGGATGCGATCCGTTGCTGGCCGACGAGGAGTCGCCGTTGTCCCTGGAGATTGTGATCGACAGCGAGGAGGGGATGTTGATGTTGCACGAGTTGAGCAGCGACTTGACCTTCACCTGTTGCTTCTCGGGCGCGTCCTCGTGGCTGGGACTGGCGCCACGCTGGAAGGCATGGCCGGAGGACGGAGCTGCTCCCGCCGGATTGGTGTTCTGGTCGGCCTTCGTGGGCGGTGATGGGAACAGCGATCCCCCGCCGCTGCCGCTGCCTCCGCCACCGAGCATGCTCTGCAGGTAGCCTCCGGCGGTGGCCTGGCTCGGCTTGGGCGTGTACTTGTAGGTGGGCATCGTGGGGATGTTGTAGTTGGGCACGTACTGCGGCGAGCTGGGCGAGTAAATGGGCGAGTTGGGCGTGTACATGGGCGTGCGGCATCCGGGCGGGGCCTCCCGGCCCTTGGACTTGCTGGCATTGAACAGGGCCAAATTGAGGTAGTTGTTGGCCGCCTTGTTCTGGCTGCCATTGGAGCTGGGTGCCGGATGGGGTTGCGGTTGATTGTTGCCTACCGTCTTGCCCTGGCCTCCGCTGGTGTGGCGTGCTGCGTGGGTAGCTGCAGCGCCTGCCGGTGGCGGCGGTGGTCCCATCTTGGAGTCAGCCTTGGGCCCGTACACATGCGACTTGGACGAGGAGGCGCTTGTGCTGCCTCCAATCGACTTGATCTCGGTGCCGGCGTCTTTCAGCAGACGGTTGACATCGTTGGGAATGTTGGCGAACGGATTGGGTCGCGCCGCCTTGGGCAGGATGGGGTGGTAGCGCTTGGCGATGGGCGTGCGGTTGCCCGGAGCCGCCATCTGCATGCCTGGGTGGTGGGGCGAAGGCGGGGCGAATTGTGCCGCGAGCTGGGGCTTGCGTGACGCCAGCATCGGGGGCTTTGGCGGTGGCGGCATGAGCTTCTCCAAGCTGCCGACAAACGGTGGCGGCGTGGTCGGAGCTGGCGGCGGATGCGAATGCGAATTGGTGGCGGGCAGACGAATCTTGAAGTCCTCGCGAGGCAGGGGCGGCGAGAGCTTCGGCTTCTTGGAGACGGCCTTGACGGGCTCCTTGCTCTTGCGCTTCGAAGAGGCAATCGACTTGGGTGCCATTCCGGCGGGCGGCCTCATCAGCTCCCTGTCCTCCAGGGTGCCCTTGGACCTGCCGCTGTGATGCGAGTGGGACGCGGACCCAGAGCCAGAAGCAGTCGTTTTCGGAGGGGTAGGCGCTCTGTGGCTGCTGGGGGACCTCTCCGGGGACTCCACCTTGACCTTGATGGGCGTCAGGGCGAAGGACTTGAGGAACTCCGACTTGGGATCCTCGTGGCAGGAGCTGCTGGCCACGCAGCGTGGACTGAGGGTGCTGACACCGCTGGGACTGAGGATGCGCTCGGTGCGTATGGTCAGCGGAGGCACCGTCAGCGGGCTGGGGCTCTTACGCTTTCGTTCGCTGCTGCTGCTCGAGGACTTGGGACTGCCGTCCTTGTCCTTGTCCTTGCTGCGGTTCTTGGAGCGCGACTCCTTCTCCGGTTTCAGCGGCTTCACGATCTCCTTGCGCTCCGGGTCGGACATGTTGATGATGGTCACGCTGTTGTGCTTGGACAGATCGATCTTCAGCTTGATATTGAGCTCTCCGCTGGGTGATGGACAGGAGTTGGAGGAGGAGGAGGAGGATGGAGTGGTGGGCGTGTGATGATTGCTCTTGGCGCTCGACTTGGAGGACTGCGGCGAGTGGCTCTTCTCGCGCTTCTCCAACATATTCCGGTTGATGATCAGCTTGAGGGGCTCACTGGGCACACGGATCTCCTCCTGCAGCTCCTGCTTTATGCTGGCAGGCGGCGATACCGGAGCTGCTGTGGGCGAGGTTTGCTCCACCTTGGGCGCTTCTGGCGCCGGCGTCGGCTCCTGCTTCACCACCTTCAGGGGAGCTGGGAGCATGCGACGTGGCGGGGGCTTCACCTGTCGCTGCGGCGACTCGTACACCCTGAAGTAGAAGCGCATGGGCGCGTCCCGCTTCCACGTGTAGATGTACGCAATGTCCATGAGGGTGTAGTAGTCCAGCAGGACGATCGTCTTCACCTTGTACATAATGTCGATGCTGAAGCGCTGCACGTCGATGTCGAACTTGTCGTAGACGAACTTCTTGAGGTGGCTCACCCGACACATGGCCGGGCACTGGAGGTACCTCGGACGCAGGAACTCCACTTCTGATTCGGTGCTAAGTTCACTGTTGGGCCAGAGAGGGATGAAAGAGAGTGGCAGAAACCATAGATTAGTAGATGAACGCGAGGGGGATGGGGATGGGGATCTGGCGCTATATATAGGACTATATTGGTGCTGATGAAACCTACCCCAACTCCGCGTATTCCAGGGACAAGGACATGTTATCCGTGGGGCCGAATATCAAGTGCTCCGTATCATCGCCCCGCTGCTCGGGCGTGGCCAGGGCTGCCTCCTGCGGCCGATCCTTGTAGAAGGCCCGCTTCCGCATCAGCTCCCGCTCGTAGAGGCCCGGCACGAGCTTGTAGACGATCGCCTGGAGCGTGGTGTCCGATCTGCAAGGATAGAGATTAAGAAGACAACGGTTACAACTCGGTTCGGTTCACTTCGATTCATCCTGGTGCGTGCTCATTGGAATGGAAAGGACTGTGCGACAAAGACAGAGGAGAAGGAGAAGGAGTAGGAGCAGGGGCAGGGGCAGGGGCAGAAGCCAAAGTCGAAAAAGTCGAAACAGAGGCACTTCCTTGGCGCGGAAATGAGAACACACAAAGGGAGGAAGGAAGAGAGACAGGACAAGAAGCGCCCGTACAAATTAGGCGGCAGATGCAATTTTCTATTGCTTCAATGGCACGCAACAAAAACGCTAAACAAGGAGAGGCAGCGCCGCAGCAGAGAGGAGGGGGATGGTGAAGGGGAAGGAGGATAAGGAAACTACAGCTATTGCTCCTTAGCATGTGCTGCTGCTCGACGATGGTGACGACGGTGACGATGGTGATAGAGCGATGTGGTGTGGCATGGTGGTGGAGCGGCGGTGTGGCGGTGGTGGAACACAGGAACTCTCGCATTAAGTCGCCTTTCAAACAGCTCTACTCGCTCTCCTCTCTTCTCCTGCCCATGCAGGCGCTCACTTCAATCATTCCACGCACACACACACACACATGCAACCAACGAAAAGAAAAAGAATGAAGGAGAGTGGAGAAACCCAAAAAGGTCTTGAATGGAATAGAAAGATGAAGAGATGGAATGAGAAGATGAACGCGAGGAAAAGGTGAGCTACGGCGCAGATGATAAAGAGAGGGACAGGCAGGCGCTACGGAAGGGAAGGTAAGGGATCTAACCATTGAAGGGCACCGATCTTGCCAGACTGCTCTCTCATTAACATATCTTATTCGTAGACCTCGGAAATGTGATATCTCTGCGATCAATCTATCAGTATTTATTAACCTCCGAAATTGGATTGGATTTAAGCCAGCGATGGACATCAGTGAATGATCAAACAAATTAGAGATACCAAAACTTTTACCTCTCTCCCCCTCCCAGGGGCAGCACAACTTATTTTTCTTCTTCTCCTCTTTTGTTGTATCGCACTCAATCATCCCAATCCCCAATGCCACCCACTGTCAGGCGACTTCTTCAACTTGAAGTAAAGTTTGAGCTCTTTCAACTTTTATTTACTCTCTCCCACACTCTAGCTCTCCCGCTCTTGCTCACTTTTTTTTAGCTTCTTTCGGAAATCGCTCTCTCACAAAAAGAATACCAATGCACGCCAGAGCAACAACAACGAAACAGAAGCCGCAACTCTTCGCGCTCCCTCTCTCTCACTCTATCGCACTCTCTTCCCCTGCTTGTTGTTTTTCAGCTGTCCTGTCCCTTCGTCGGTGTCGGCGCTGCGTCGACGTCAACGTCATCGTCATTGTCGTTTGCCGTCGGCGAAAACCGAGCGCAAGACCCGCCCGTTAATTATCTTTGCCGTATTTCGATTTGTTTTCTTGGAAATGCGTGTCGTCTTGCGCCGCCAGTTGTTGTTTTTGTTGTTGTTGTTGCTTTTTCTGCTGCTGGAAGTTCTGCGTTTATTTTCCTTTCTTTCTTTCTCTTAGTTCTTCCTCGTTTTGGCAGTTTATATCAGATGATTCTGCTGGCATTGTCTCTCTTAAAGGTAGTCTACGGCGGCGGAGACAGCTATGAAAACATGGCCGAGGCCTGACACAAATACGGTGAAACCACAGTGGAGGGGAAAAATGTATAATCTTGGTACTACGAGTATATACAGTATTTATTTACAGAAGAATTTCAGTAAGGCTTTCTATGAATTAGTGCATTTTCCGTCTACACAGAATCCTGTAAAGATCCTCGAAACCTCTCCAAAGCCTAGAAGATCTGAGAGCGGTTCTATTACTATGAGATCTATAGCACCCAAAATGAGTGGAAAGAGCATGGAATTCAGTTGAAGTAATGCCTAGTTCAGAAGACTCTTTCTTTATGGCCGCCATTTGGTGGAAATCGAATTTAGAGTGATAAATATTTCTCCCCCACCTTTGTACAGTGAACGTTCGATAATAAGCAACAACAACAAATAACCCATAATTGTTCTGAAACTATCTAGCGATAACCGAGTGCTGTTTATCTATCTTGGCCGATAGGAAACACTACCTATCCTCGAGAGTCTTTGAGTATCGTCTGAAATGTCAGACACCACTACTCGTATTATTTTGGCCGTTGCTGTTGTTGTGCCCCCACCCCCATTCCCACAGTGCGAGCTTTATTTGCTTTTACAGCAAAAGGCGAGCTTTATTTTGTTGTTGTTTATCTTTTCAAAGACAAACTGAGTTCGAGTGAAACTGACTTTTCTTTTGTGTTTCGCTGCTGCTGCTGCTGCTGCTGCTGTTTCTTTTTTCCTTTTCCCTTTCCGTTTCCCCTTCCTGTGCCCCTTTTTTGGGTTAAACAATAAACTTTCGCAATAAATTTAATTGGAGACTTGAGACTGGCTGAATACTGCACGACTACTACTTCTACCACTATGACTGGGGCCACTAAAAATTCATGGAAAGCAGAGCCAACCAGCCAGCCAGCCAGCCAGCCAGCCAGCCAGCCAGCCAGCGGCATCCACGGGGCACAAAAGACACTTGTTTGCAGTCAACCTTGCCTCCCGTCCTCCTCCTCCTCCTCCCCTACCCGTAAGGCACTTCACACCATTTGGCCAGGGACTCAGTGGCAGGCAAAGCTACGAAAAGGTTCATCCATTCACCTGTTCTTCATTTAGTCTACCCCCCACAATATCGCCTCGCTTTGAATTTGTATTCATTATCTTTTTGTGTGTGTGTGTGTGCAACGGGAGAGATTACAACGTGCGGCGCTGGAGGCAGGCGGCAGGCGGCAGCATTGGTTGGATTGGGGGGGAAACGTGAGCGTGCCACCAGCGGGTGGTTTTCTGTACAGATTCCCATTAAAGTTGGTGCTGCAGCTTAAATAGATTCTGCCACATCTCCGCCTGGTTGCCTGCCTTCTACACGAAACGTGTTTTTCATTACGCAGCCACATTCCCGGGTCCCCCCCCCATCCCATCCCATCCCATACCAACCAATTCCATTCCATCTATTCAGCCAAAACAAAACGAAACGAAACGAAATGGAATGAAATGAATTGAAACGTGCCAGACAAGATGGTTCCACGTTTGCCAGTTGGACCGTCAAATAAAGTTAACCACAGCCAAAAGTTTCCACGAACAAAGGTGGGGGATTCCGAAAAGTGTCTTGTCTTAGTTTATGCCCCGCTTTGGGGCCAAAGGTTTTTTGATAAACTTTTCTGCCTGGCCACCGCCTCTCAACCGCAATTACCTACCACGCCCCCCCACCAACAGTCAACCCGTCAAACGATACGGAAAGTTGTGCGGTTCGAAGAAACTACTACTCCGATTCCACAATCCACCCACTGGCAGTGGTTTTCCCCGGGGAAAATCAATCTCTAAGTGAACTAAAACGGAAATTTTCCCCCCTCCAGACACTTGTAGGCAGGTCCCACATGACAATGAGTGGAAGTGCTTTGCCAGGAGTCAAAAAGCTAATCAGTGAAGCTAACGGAACGGAACCAATGGAAAACTGGAAACAAATATAACATGTCAAAACTCAGCTTGTCGCAGCTTTTCCATGAGACTTAAATACTGGATATTGGATTCTATTAACTGAATTAAAAACACCATTGAATGTACATGTGTACTTCCCACAAAGCTCCAGAGGGGTCTATTCAGTATACAAGATGTACAACAGCTCCTTAAGGGAGATAAGTATCTGCTTTCAAAGAGTTTTGCCAATGCCTGGGCTTCCTTTTACATTCCCCCATGCCCCATTCCCTCGTCAAGTGGCAGACAACGGCTGGCATCTTCAAGTACCCAACAGGCTCCTTCTCCATCTCCATCTCCTATCCATTCCATTCCTTTATTGTATCTATCATCTAATCGGTGTTGTCAAAGACAGACAACACGACGAACGACTCTATCTGGGCACGCTGAAGAGTCTACTCACTTGATATTCGGCTTGGCGTTGTTGATGACCATCTCGCACCGTGGACAGAAGCGATCCTTGCGCAGGTGATTAATGAGGCAACTGTGGCAGACTGCAAACAGAAGGAGAAAAAGTACATTAGTAGGGCTCTCAAATCGGGCTCAAATGCTGCCCGTACAATAGTGCCATAGAAAGAGGCAAATTAGGATGGGGGTCTGTGAATCGGCATACATAAATTGTACAGATTTCTGTTTCCCAACTCCAAGTCCCCCCCCCCAAATTGAAACGATTCAAATTTATGTAAAAACATTTCTGCTGCTCCGCCACTCTTCGCCCAGGCGCCCGAGCACTCTACCTTCTGGGCAAAGGAAACGCAATCAAGGCTCCCACCCACCCACACAGCCACCCACAGCCATGTAGCCAAAAGGAAAAGCAGGGAACACACACAGAATATACAGAGGCCCTGAGAGCGAGCCAAGAAAAAATTACTGCAAAAAAAGTTGTTTTGACTTTAATGCCAATGCCAGGGTCCTGCACGCTACAACTGTCACCCAGGAACCAGAGACCAGCATGGAGCAGGGGTCTCTATCTCTCTCTCTCCCAGTCTCTCTCTCTCTCTCCCTTTATTTTGGCTTGTTACGCTTGTCCGTCAGTTTTGGTCCAATACCGAAAATGTAATGCAGGAAGGAAATTCGCAACAGTCCGTCTTTTGGTGGGGTGGCAGGCAACAAAAAGAAAGAAGAAAAAAAACAGAGAGGAAAAAAAAAGGGAACTCTGGCCATGTTGCTGCCCCCCAAATGGCCTCGAGTGAGAGATGCTGCTGCTGCTGCTGTTGCCACAGCGACTGTGAGACTGCAGCAACGACGGCAGCTGTTGCCTGCCGCCACACACGGTCCACAGTACACACAGTACACAAGTCTAGAGTCCAGGTTTGCCCTCTGGGCCGAGAATCCAGTCCAGGTCCAGTCCAGTCCAGTCCAGTCCAGTCCGGGGCGTTTGACAGTTAGATGGGACTCCCGGGTGCTCTATATATCCGTCTGTCTGTCTCTCTGGTTGGCTGCTCCATTTCGTTTCAGTCCCCCTCTCATTCCCTCCGCAACTCTCTGGCTGTCTGACCAACAGATTTAAATGAGCCTGACCAAATGTATCCACGGCCACTGTGTGTCCATTATCAACACATTGGTTTCCTAGATTTACGAACATCAAAAGGAGGAAGAGCCGGAATAAAACGGGGAGGAGTTGCAAAATTAACCTTACGTCGCTTAAAGGGGGGCCACATTTAATGGCTTAGAGACAGAGAGAGAGATAGAGAGAGTGTGTGTGATATATGGTTATATTCTTTAGTTTTATTGGTTTAATTCCTTTCTGGGAATGCTAATGTCTTGGATTATTGGTGATTTCGGTAACTTATAGTCTCAGAAAGAATTACTGGGAGGAAAAGGATCCCCCAATCTGTTTTAAGAACTAAACCATCTTCAAAAATAAATCTTTTAAATAAGATTCTTTTTTCCCGAAATATTGCCATTTTTTTATTGATAATTCTTGAAAAATCCTTCAAATATTTCTTTATATACTTGGCTTATTCGCGGTTTCGAAGCTACATTTTAAGAATGTGTTAGCAATGTTTAAACGGTATGGATCCTCCTCTCTCCTCATCGAATGTCCCACCACAACAGTTGCCTGCAACGGTTTCCCAATCAAGAGTCAAGTACTTAGCCCTACTCCCCGTTTCCCTCCTTGCATGACTCGAGCCATTAATGGGCCCACAAACTTATCGCCCGACAACATCTGCGTGTCGTCTGTGGCACGACACCACCCCGCGTTCACCCCCCTTTCGGCAAACATAACTCATCGCGGCGAGGAAATTTGCCGAGTTTCCAGACAGTTACAGGAGACAGGACAGTGGGAGATGTGGGAGTGGAACGGGCGTAGAGATATACTCATTCTAATCAAGGCAGACCGATTAGGCGATGCAACACGACTAAGCTGAGAGGGAATTCTGCTTTGTGGTGGGACAGAGGGGGGGATGGGCATACTTACAGGAGTGCAGACACTCGACAATTGTCGTGGCATTGATCAGGTAGCCCTGGCACAGGTGACAGATGATGTGCGGATTAACGGCAGTCAGCAGGACTGGTCGTGGCGTTGTTGCTGTTACCAGTTCGGTGTTCCCGGGTGCTGCCAAATCGGAAGTATCTGCTGCCTCCTCGTCAGCGGAGGCGCCACCATTGCTGCTGGCATCCTCTGATGTGGCCGTTGTCGTCGACCAGGCCGACGATGAGCAGCATGAGGCGGAGGAGGAGGCGGCCTCGACTGATTCGACGACATTAGGAGTAGTTGCCGGTGGCGTTGATTCCTTCTTGATGTTCTTTTCTAACATGCTTTTTGCTGCTGCTACTGTTGCTGCTGCTACTGTTGCTGTTGCTGCTGCTGTTGCTGCTGGCGTTGCTGCTGGTGTTGCATTAGTTGTTGTTGTTGTTGGTGTTGCAACTGTTGCTGTTACTGCTGCTAATGTGTTTTCACTTTTTACTTTAATGCTGCTGACAGCAAAAACTTGCTGCTGCTGCTGCTGTTGCTGTTGTTGCTGTTGCTGTTGTTGCTGCTGCTGCTGTTGCTGTTGCTGCTGTTGCTGTTGCTGCTGTTGCTGCTGTTGCTGTTGTTGCTGCTGTTGCTGCTGCTGCTGTTTCTGCTGCTGTTGCTGCTGCTGCTTCTGCTGGCGTTGCTTCATTTGCATTTGCATTTTATCAGCACTTGTCGACGTCACATTTGTTGCAGTGGCAGTGGCTGTGGCTGTTGCTGCAGTTGTCGTTGTTGTTGGCGCTTTCAGAGACAAAGCCAGCTTTTTGCTGCTATTGCTGACAGCGCTGCTTTTGGCTGCTGCTTTCGCCGCTGCCGCTGCCGCTTGCGCCGCCGCTGGCGCTGGCGCTGGCTTTTGTGTGTGTGCCATTGTTGTAGTTGCAGTTGCAGTTGTTGTTGCCGCTTTCGACTCTGGCGTCATCATAATCATAATACTCGTTGCCTCGTATTCGCTCGTGTGTGTTGCACAAGCGTCAATCTGGAAAATAGACAAAGCAGAAAGTTGAAATTAAATGTGAAATGCGAAATGGAAATTTGTTAGGCGAGCGCGGAGCTTTCATGCAGATTGTAAACAAATCCAACGCCATGGCAAGAGCTTTAAGCTCAGCTCAGCTGCTCAGGAAAAAGCTGAATCGAAAGAATTTGTTCTGCGGACGGACCCAGAACTCTCTACGATCGGATTTCGTGCTCTGTTTTCCTAGGAGATTGGAACCCAGAAACGGCTGTTAATCGGAATAGCTGGAAATCGGAGCCAACTGTGAGTCAACAGCTGATCGAATGAAGAAAAGCGATACCAGGTTCGATTCTGTTATCTTTGTTGGCCCACAAAACAGATCCAAAACCAGACATCCAAAGCGGTATTTATGCAGCATTTAAAGTCAAAACAATGGCCACAAAGGTCCAAAGAGGCACTAAAGGAATAACTTTGAGGCAGCAGAGGAGGGGAGGGAGTTTGTGGCAGGGCACAAGCGGGGGAGGGATTTTAGAGGTAGACGAGGTGGTGTGGTTCCTTGTTCTGCCGCCACTGACATTAAACAATATGTAAGCCATTATATGCAATCAGTCGATGGATGCGGGGCCTCCGATAATGGATGTGTTGCTGTTTGGGCCCCTGCATAGCAGTGTTGCCATGGGAATGTTTGCAAATATTGAAATCCACAGCACTCGGGGGAGCATTGGGCGAGCACAGACTCCGACTCCGACTCTCTCGCACTCGCACCACCGAAAGGGGTGAAGGGATGGTCGAGTGGTGGGAGTGAATGGCTACCCAGACACCCGGAGTGGCAAATGGCAGTGGCAAGTACATGGAAAATGTATTCCAAACAATTTCAAGCTGTTTTTGCATCAACGCCCCGTTAAAAAGTCAAGGTACGAACACGAAAACTTTTACCAAAAACTTTTTCAGTCAACGAACCGAATGCGAAAATCATACCCGAATGGGAAATTGGAATGGGAATAAAACTGGGAATGGAAATGGAAATGGAATATGAATGAGAATGAGAATACGGAAGCGCAGAGTGGAGGAGAATAACAGACCTTGTGTCCGGGCGAAACCTCTTTAAATCCTTTTTACAGCAAAATTTAAGAGGCTGGCTGCCGACACAAGACTTTAACCCTTCCTTCCCATTCCCATTCCCATGTTCTGGTCCCATTCCCACAATATATACAGGCGGCTTTTTGTTGACGGAGGGGAGAAGAAACGCGCGCGCAAAAAAAAATGTGAGTACCAACATGAAAAGGATAATAAAAAGCAGCGGAATTTCTCATGTCTACGTGTGTGTGTGTGGGTCTACGAGTGTGTGTGTGTGCGTGCAGGAGTGTGGAAAGAATGGAAAGGCAAAGGCAAAGGGATGGAATGGTAAGGACTGTGCCTGAAGAGAGCGGTGAGCGGGGAGCGGGGAGGGAGGCAGAGCGCAGACTGTGACAATGCACGGCAACTCGACGGACGACAGCGAACGCAATTCGGAGAATGCAGGGCAGAGTGCTCCGAAAGCCGAGACTGCGGCTTTATCTCCTCTTTCACACACTCATACACACAGTTGCACTCTTCCAAGCGCCGACCGACCGACCGACCGTCCGCTTTCATTCAGTAAAAAGATGAAGCAGGCAGCAAAACAGAATGCCAGATAATCAGAGGTTGGAACCCGCACACACACACACAAACAAACACACGCACGTTGGACTGCGGCGGCTCTTGGGGAGACTTTCAATTGTGCCCAATCGAAATTCTCACTTTGGGGCAAGTTGTTGTTGCTTCTGCTGTCAACGTGTGTCGCCAGATAAGGGGCTCACAGCTGTGGGTGGGGAAAGAGAGAGAGAGAGAGAGAGAGTGGTGGAGCAACAGCTGTGCTTGAACAGTGTTGAGCAACGCAACGACTCTTTTCATTAGATATATTTACCTTTTGGTTGGTTGTATGCTGCTAATCCAGCCAGTTAATTGGCATCGTGAGGCGGGGGGTACGGGAACTGTATCCAATTGCAGGGTATTTGTTTGTAATCCACAGTGTATGCTAACGCTCAGCTTTAACACAGCGCTTCATTTCTTTTACTTCTCTTCTTTCTTTACTCCACAAACAAACACGAACACACACACTCACACTTTGCGCTCATCGGCGCCCTGCTTTCGTAAGCACCTTTATTGTGTATTCCGCTTTGCTCTATGTTTTCTGCGCGCACACAAACACACACGCACACGAACAAGAGTGAACCGAACCGTTTATATGGACGGGTATATAAGGCCGAGTGAGTGCTGCTGCCGCTGTTGCTGCGGCATTTGTCACACAAGAACGAGACACAAAGGAAATTTCGAGCATGCAACCGATAGTTGCCGTTGCATTTGATAATTAATATTTCTTAATTTTTTTTTATAATTTTAAATTATTTTAGCTTTATAGAAAACTTAAGCCGTTTACACTTGTGCACTTGGTTACTGTAAATATTTTAGAGCGCACTTTGGTAGCGATATTGTGGAGCACCGTACGTCCGTTTCAACTGCGAGCTGCGACCACGCTGTTTCTGTTTCTGTTTCTGCCGCTCGCTGCTATGTACAGCAACCTCTGCCGACTATTTACTCACTCACACACACTCGCGCGCACACGAACTCAGGTAGACAGCCAACTAACTGCCTGCTGCTGTTCCGCCACTGCAGCTATCTCGCTCGCTCTGGCCTCTCACTGGACGGCTGTTTCTTTCTGCTTCCTTCGGTTTCTTTTTTCTGCGCTCTCTCTGCTTCGCGTTGGTCTCTCTCGCGGGGCGTTTTATTCGTTTCCTTTCTTTGTTCCGTACTCGCAATGTGTCGTCCGCTACGAACCGTTCTCGCTTGCGTTTGCTTTGCATCTGAATCGCTCGCCTGCTTTTGCTTTGTATCTGACTCGCTGCTTCGGTCGCTTCGCTGCTGCGACGCTGACTGCGACGTTGGCTTTGCTTTTGCGTTTGGTGTTGGTTGCCTTTTGGGTCTTTTGCTGTGCCTGCTGTTTCTTTGTTCGTCGACTCGGAGTGTTTTCATGTACAGAGCTGCGCTGCTCTGTAGATACTATTTGGCTATGTACAGCAGAATCTATGTATCTTCTTCTTCGGATCTTCGTTTCGTACGGCCGTCTGTTATGTACATTTTTCCTTTCAGTCGCACTCTTTCCCTTTTTATGACTCTTCAACTTCTGATCCATATGCAAACAGTATGTACGTAATCCCATGTGCAAACACTTTGTAAAATGGTTCTGTACATAAGAGTATTACCTTACCTACTGGCCACATTTGCAGTTTACTCATATTTCGCCAATTTCCGTAGACGGAAAATTGCATATTCGCACGTAGGCGTACAGTACAGCGCAGCACAGGGCCTCTACCCCCTCTCTCTCGCTCGCACAGTCTAGGCCCCAAATTGGAATATCGGCAACAATCAGCAGGCAGCAGGCACGGCACTCGAGTCCAAGTCCCAGCAACAAAAGCTCTCCCTCTCTCTCTCTCTCTGTCTGTCCAATCAGTGGCAGCAACAAGAGCAGCAACTCCGTTCGTTTCCGTTTCTGCGATCGCGAATGTACCGTTGGATTACGTAACAGTGTAGATCTAACAGATAACAAAAGAGTCCCAGTCCCAGACCCAGTCTCAGGCCACGACGAGCAAGATGTTGCGGCACTTTCTATGCGAAAAAAATTGAATGTTTTTCGCGTAGGTTGCAGATTTCCTCAACCGAGTATTTTATGTTCATTTTCTGTGGAGATGAGATGCTTTATAAGGAAACAAAGCCAATCATTACCAGATATAAGCTATATGTATGTGTCTTTCAAATTGGAGAAACAACTGGCGAAATTCACAAGGTTTCCTCCACTTATGCGGAAAAGTATCTAGTTTCAATCAATCTTGCTGAAGGTATGAATTTATTCCCGAAACCCTTACGTTGCTTTCTTTTAATAGAATTGGAATCGGAGTAAGGGTTTCCCTGAAATGAATGGAGAAAATGGAAAGTAGAAGCTATGGTTAGACGATTTGGAATAAACTTCCGAACTGAATATCATTAGCTCGTGGATGGGGAACATTTTTGAACTACGAGAATAGGGAATCCTTTTCTTATCAACCTCTTTGTTTCTATAGCACTCCAGCATGGGGAAAATGGGTAATCCCTGGCAAAGAGCAGATAAAGTAGGGTCTCAAAAACTGAGGGATTACAGGAAGCTTTAGCTGCAGGGATTACACGTAGATCTGATTCGAAGTATAAAGTTACAAGAGGAAAAATAAAGTCTCACAGCCTCGAAAAACTTGAAAACCCATAGAAAACTTCAGTTGCAACGTAGAGAAATGTTTACGTACATCTGATATTCATAAGACAACAAAAAGCTCAGAACAAAATCTTTCGAAAACAGCTTAAATATCGCAGTGCAACGTGCACAACAAACAAAGGGACTCAATTTAAATAGAAAATATAACTCAATTATTTAAGCCTACTTTAAAAATTTCTGAAACTGCACCTTGGGCCACTTTAATATACAGCTTAATCTTTTGTTCTCCTTTTAAGAGTGTATTATTCGTTGGAATTCTCTCTCATTAGCTCAATTTAGCTGAGGAACGATTGTACTGTATAAAAAACAATATAGTTTTTGGTTGAAGGATTCAATAAAATCCAATGTTTGATTACAAATACTTAGCCAATTTCTTTTACTTGAAATTGAGGCATTCAATCTTCTGCAGTATGGAGAATATTGAAGATTTTCGGTAATACTCAAATTTATAATAGCGGTTATATATTTAGTAGAACTGATCCCAATAATCGATGTAAATATCTATAGAATCGATTGTTAAGTTTTTTTTAAAGCATCGATTCCATTTTTGCGCGAATTTTTGATTTTGTTTATATTATGGCGACCTTTTAAATTTTACTTATGCCTGCGTGAAAGCCTCCAATACAGGCTGCAAAACAAAGCCGGCTTTCTTTTCTTGTATGAAGACAAAAAGTACCAACATTGTTTTAAAAAAAACGTTCCTGTATCGTTATCTATGCATGATCCACGGAGTCCGAGAGGATTTTTAGACAGCTCTTCTATCCATCCCGCCTTAAGGACTAGAATTGCTGATAAGTTAAAAAAAAGTAATGGGTATTTTAGATTTAATTCATTAAATTAATTTTTTGAAATCTAAATATTTAAGATACTATTTTAGGATAATCTGTACATACACTGAAAAAAATTCAAATGAGGATTGAATTGTCTTAAAGTTTTGGTTTTATGATGCAACCACTTCTCGAAGGTTCTGAAACTCGCACTTATCTAACCATGAATCAGAATATATGTAATTTAAATAAAGCAAATGAGTAATTATTCTCTGGGGATGTAGGCAGTTTAATCAAGCGAATGTAAAATTACGTGATAAACAAAAAATATAATTTCCAAGAATTATCTTTAATACATTATGGATATCGGTTGGAATTCTTAGGAAACGGATGACCAAAAGCAGCACACAAGTAGGAGAAGGTTAGTGAAAGACTGATGTCCAAGGTTCTTGCAATTTTAGATTAAACATAAATGAATTGGGAAGCGAATCAGTAATCGTGAATTCAATTAAAACTGTTGTTTTTTTATCTGCCCGTTTTAATCCGTCTTCATGATGCCGTAGTCGACATTCTTAACTAAATAAGTGGTCCTCTAAATTCCTTTATTGGTAATTAAAGGTATATTTATCTATAGCTAAGATATCTTAAGAGCCCTAACATAACATTATCGTTATGAAAAACGTAAAAATCTCTTGAGTTTTATGACAGAAAGACGGTTCCACTTCAGTTGGCAATTTGTGGATTCTTGGGAATATTATACATATATTGTTACAAAAAGAGGTAGTGCCATATGGTTAACCATGAGGTTTTTAGAAAAGATATTCGCATAATTTGAGTTGTTATAGTTATATGTTTATATTCACTGAGAACTCTATCTTTTTATTCATTACAAGTGCAATTATGATCACTACGTTTAGAGTACTTTTGTACTCCCATCTGGATTCTATATGGGCTGCTCCGTGGAATGCCCCTAGAGGCTTTGACCGTGTTTATCGATTGGAATTATGGCTAATTTCTATATGCCCAGTTTCATCAAGGAATATCAATTACATTCTAGCAGTAATTGTCGCCTCTCTTTCTCTCTGAGCGATTAGAAGCACTCGAGCAGACACTAATCCCCGAGTCACTTGCTCTCTCTAGAATCATTAAGTGTGGCCCCATCTGTAGTCGCTGCCGCATCCCCAGCAGTCCCGTTCCGTTCCGCTACCGTTGGTGGCAATCGAAGGCGGACGCCATCTTAAGTCGGCCGTCCTCATCAACGGCTGATTGAGCTCATCCTGTGCGGCGGGCGTTCGCCTGTTGCCTGGTGCACTCTTGCGGGATGGGATGGTACGAACTGGGGGCCCAGAGAGCAGTAAATTATTGATTGGCTTTAATGCCGAGCGATAGATTGCCTCAACTGGTTTTAACAGCTTAATTGAGACCCCATGAAGCAATAAATGCGATAAAGCGACAGACCTCGACTCGGGCTTAGTCCATGCCGTACTCCAGCGCGGACGGATTCCAGCACGAGAAAGAGAAACTAATAATGTGCCGCACAGTGGAGAGACGACGACGTTGGAGCCAGAGTCGTGTCCATAGCTGCCCACTGTCCGCTGTTGCCCCCGCTCGCTGCCAGATGCCGATGCCCAGCAACCAAAAGCAACAACAACAAGAGAAGTCTTGCTTCTGGGGCCGAGGCTTTTGATACTCTTACAGACCTATTGTTCCTATGACAGTTATCTGATATTGTCAGCCAGTTCTGCTACAATTATGCGGAGAGTGCGAACAAATAAAGGAGGAAACAGACAGACATGCATAATGATGGTCTAGGTACATTCATTCCTCTTGAAGTCGGAAGTGCTTTCTTCATTGCGTTTCAAACATCTTGTCAAAGCCAGAATACCCTCTCGGCAAGGGTATAACAAGCAACGCCAGCATCTGCAAGTGAGGGGCAGCGGCAGCAAGCAGCAAGAAGCAACAGCAACTCCAGTAGCAGCCTCCCCAGTGAATGGGGGGCATTTAAGTTTAATTTGTGTGCCGCCGCTAACGTTGACGTTGACGTTGACGTCGCTGCCGCTGTTTTCTCCTCTTCTCCTACTCTTTACTCCTCGTGACGAACCGAACCGAAGCGATCCGATCCAACCCGACCGGTCTCTCCTACCACCTTCCTTCCCACCTTAGCAAATCAATCCACACAAGCAATGACCGAACGGCTCAGAGATTCGTTGTTGTTGCTGCTGCTGGCGCTCGCTGGCTGAATTCAGGGCGCATGTCGAGACGAACAGCACAAATACAATCGCATTTTGTATGTATGTATGCATGTACATATCTGCCAGTTGAATTTTCCCAATACGCTTTGCTTGTGACGTCACAAGCATCATCAGCTTCAGCCGCAGCCTCAGCATCGGAATCGAATCGTCATCATCGGTCTCATCATTATTAGCACAACAGCAGATGTTTATGTGCGCCCCGTGTGCGTGTGTGTGTGCAGTATGTGTGAGCAAATGTGCATCTGTGTGCCTTGGCATACAGTTGTTATTGCCTTGCCTCGCTTTTATCTACGCTCGCACAGGCAGGCCAGAGTCGGAGTCGAGTCGAGTCAGAATTCGTGCTGTACAGAGCATAATAATGAGTTTTCTCACTTCTGCTGCGTATCGTCTCTGTCGTTTCCACACAGTTTCCCAATGAACGTCGAAGGGCGGTTAGGGCAGAAGGGATAATTTGGAATAATATTGGAATTATAAGTAAGGTTGTCAGATACAAGATACGACCAAACGAAACGAGCTGCGCTA